CGAAATATACAACAAAACGGTTTATACTCAAACTTGTGACAAACAAAAAAAAAATTCATGGGACCACACTTAAACATAAACGCTTAGGCTGTAGTTTTATTTTATTCCTGCGCCGCGCCTTGTTCTACTGAAGTACAGGTCTGGTTTATCATCCGCTGTGTATAGTACCTGAAATTTCGTCACTCATCCACATCAAGAAAGCCGGCATTAGTTTGGCACAGATGCCATACACAGAGATTTCCTGATCAAAGTTGCCAAACTGAATTTCGAAAAAGGCATACTTTATGGAGTTTTAGTGGCAGTCCTCAGCTGGTGGTTAAGAATATGGCCCCGTGGAGGTACATCAAGAACAACTTTTTTTTATTTGGCTTCTCGTATGAGACGCAATATTTATAGTACGGCCTTGAATTATTCGCTAGTGCTCGAAAAAAATGTATAAAACCTGTAAAAAAAAAAAAAAAAAAAAAAAAAAACTACGCGTTGCCGAACGTCCGCGAAAATAAGCCGATTGCGGTTAGGACCAGGTGCAAATTTTTTTCATATCTTTCCGTTGTCTAATTGAAGAGTTATCAGCAATTTTACTGAATTTCTAATGAGAAATTCAAACTGAAGACCCGCTTTCGATAGCAAACGGCATCATTCAACCCCTTGTATTCGCGCTCTCCGATGACCATTATTTCCCCGTTGGAAATTTTGGAAAATCGTCTTTTTTAACTTTACCGTTACATACCATTAAGTTATGAAAATTGGCATCTGATCCCCACAGCTAGTGCTGCATTTGGTCAAAAACTGAGCGTTCTGCAATGCGTAGATTTATTTTTGAGATAAGAATAACACTTTCTTTTCTTTCGAAACACGCGTAGTATAAACTTTACTGTAGAGAACAAAAGTAATGTCTCACAAAACATTAAGGATTCACCTGAGAGATGAGTGACAAAGAGAAAACGGATAGCGGTATACTATATATTGGTATAATTCATAGCTGTTTTAGTGAGGTCCGCGGCGTCTGGCAGCAAAGACCTTTCGGAGAACGAAAGTATAAGTTCTGAGCATATGTCCTTTTTTCAACCTTTGGGGCCGCTGTAACGTTTCTAAAATATACATCAGAAAAACGACAGCCACGCAGACACCGTCTCAGGCATGTTCCTTTCTTTGTATGACAGTTCTGTCACATTGGTCATGCCAACAAACTTTCTGCAAGCATCTTGTAAGCGTGCATGTGTATAAAATAAACATGCTTCGAACATTCTTGTGGCGTGTCCGCGGTTAATTTTGTCGGCAGGTCTTCAGACCGTCTCTTTTGTTTGACGTACGATCGGTGTGACCCGGCTTAAAGGGGAAATGGGTTGAACGAAGCTGCTGCGAGTATACCATAGGAAACAGGTCGGCGTTTGTTCGAGGATTCCCACTGTCATTATACTTCCGTCACCTCCGTGAAAAACGACGCGTATACGTCGGCGCTCGGTCATTGTTCCCGAGAAAAATGGCGCTTCTTTTTCTTTTTTCATCTTCAAACCTTTGTTGGGAGGAAACGAGGCTAAGGAGCCCGAGCAGACAGATTACTGATTCGTTCGTCTTTCAAGAGGGGCTGTAACTACGAAAGCTTTGAAGCGAGCGAAGAAAGCAAGAGTAAATCGACCCTGAATATCGAACGAATCGGTTTCTTTTTCGAGCCGAAAAATACTCGTCCTGCTTGTTCTTTATTTGTGTAGTTTTTCACTTGTTTGTACAACTTTAACGTAGGAGTTCTGCCGTCACAGTGATTAACGAAATTGTATCTAGGAAGCGTACATTGATTCTTGTTTTCGAGTCAGTTGAATGTGCAAGGAAGAGGCTTAATTCTCCGTGAGGTCCTTTTCAACGAACTGTCGTTGCATCACTGAACGGGAAAACGCTACCATTACGTGCCGTATATGGCTAAATCATCTGGGGTGGAGAGCGTTTTACGGATGCCCGTTATTGCATTTGTTAAGTGTACGAACTACAGAAAAATTGGATCCATTACAAAATTACGAATTGAAGATAAAAAGATCCACTGGCTTTTGATAACTCATGTCCAACAAGATGTCTTTTTTTTTAATTGAGAGGATTTGTTTTATAATACAAGAAAACACTGTTTTAGAGATACCGACTTTTTATACTTGTTCGTGCAGTGAATGAGTGGATAAACTTCATTGTAGCGACGTGTGACTAACTCTCGGGTGCAGCCCGAGCTCCACCCGAGCGAGCAGTATAGCACGCAGTCAGCAGTCAAGGGCGACGTTGTCCTGGTCAGTAAACATAAATACGACTTAGTTCGAGACTCAGTTTTTATTTATGGGTATCTTTTTCCAGAACTAGATTCGAAACGTACGTACGCAATATCTCGGGATCCCACCGGTCAAGGCATCTCGCTGGAAAACAAAACGTATTTTAAGTAAATTCCTCAGAACTCCTCGATTTCCGAGGGGTGCACACCCAAACGTTTCGGTATCAACCTCGTGAGGTATGCCGCGATTTGGTTCCGTGACAGAAAAACAAAACTACACGAATACGTAGACTCCCACGACCCCGAGCATTGAGTGTAGTCCGTCTTACTTACGACGAACCGCAGCCGACGCTACGACACATCGAAGCCAATCCGAGGCCATGGTAGTGTCACGTGAACTTCGGGAATGACGCGGCGATGCGCGGGGCGTGCGGTCACGTGACGCATTCGCAGCGCCGGATTGGCGGGGACGGCTACTTGTAGCGTCGGCTGCGGTTGGTCCTAGGCGAAACGGAGTACAGGAACAAGGCGTTTGCGCTAAGCTGCCGTCGCAGATCTCTCTCCCGCTTTACCCCGTCTGGCGTTGCGGGGTTGTCTCTGGCGAGGGAGCTACTGCAGGGCTGCAGGTGCTTTCGATAAGCTGTCCGGAGACGGCCCGAGATCCTCGACCACCTTAGCGTACTGTCCGATCGACGTCGGGATTTTGGAAGAGGATCCTCTTTTGTTCTCGCGGTCCAATACTCGAAAGACGTCGGGAGGCCGAGCGTGCTGGGCCGCTCAACGTGAATCAGCCGAAACTCGATTTTTGCCCGTGTTTTTCGTGATAGAGAAGTCGTATCTTACGGGGTACGGGTGGGTGGTGCCTGGGCGCCAAACAGAATTTTGGTTTTGCTTCACTTCTATAAAAAAAAAAAAACTCTCTTTTGTTTTTCTGTTTTGCTCGATAAAAGGCAATGTTTTACCGAGTACCCAGAGTACACTATTTTATATCACGGAACTCCCAGCAGGTGTAACGGTGCAGAGAAACAAACGCCCACACTTTGCGTATATTTATGTTGGGAAAATAGGGGAAAACCATAAAATGGACCCTACAACTATCTACTACATTAGGCAACATCGTTGCGTCGATGAGCTTGAAGCCGCTGGCACACTGCCAATACTCCAACTTCTGAGATAAAAAAGTACGGCGGCAGTTGTTCTCAAGAACCTACATTTGTGGACGCAAGTTAATGAACTAAAATAAACACGGACGAAACTAAATGCGTAACTATTTAGGCAAGGGAATCGTAGCATTTTTTTTTTCTAAATATTACGATAAATTCATCTCCTTTAGAGACTGCGAATTGCTTGAAATTTCTTGGTGTCATTTTTACTGGATCACTTGCTTGGACCGAACACATTGAGTATATGTACCGAAAAGCTTGCAAAGCGATGGGAATGATATCTAAAACTCGTTTTATGTTTCCGAAGGGAGTGAAGCTGCTCTTGTATTATTCTCTGATCTACACACATTACATGTACTGTCTCTTGGTTTTGGGGAACAACGACCAAATGAAACTTGACAACACTGCTTCTAAGACAGAAAAAATTATTTTGCATAATTTGAATTGTTTCTTTTTTTAATTCTTCTGAGGAGCTTTTTTGAAAGCTTGAATTTGTGACAATTAATCATTTATACAACTCTCCTTTCATGGGGTGTCTACAATACGACAGTAAAGCAAAATAACGACTTTCTTTTCGTGCTGTCGGGCTTGGTGACAAGCGTATGAAACGAGGCATAGCGAGAACTGGTGTGTTATAACTTCCCTTACTAATTATGGATTAACCACTTTAAAATATGCACTACCATCTCTTTCAATTGAGCTCGAAGATGAAACGATCGACATTGCTAAAAAAACCAAAGGGTATGCTACGCGATATGTTATTAGAAATAGAGTGATAAGGACTCTTTTGTACCTAATCGATGTAATAAGGTGTAGTATCTTGTTTCTTGCTTGTGTTGTCTGAAATGTTTCTGCTGCTTCTCTGTCACACGGGGTAGGGCCTCATCAAGCTGCAGGCCATGCGCCTTCTTGCCCAATATCCTTACTTTTTATATAAAGGAAAATAAAGAGATTGGTATTAATATTATAATTACCAGAAACAGTCCGCCGGCACTGCGTGAGGCGTGTATCTTCCGTGCATGAGGGTTCTGTCACGTTGTTCATCTGCAGACACAAATGAAGCGTGAATATGTATGAAACGATTATGTTTTAAAGAAGCTTATATCATGTCCCCAGAAAATTATGTCCATCATGACCAAAGCAAACACCCTGCTTTTTTTTTTTTTTTCTATGACCTATTGTACGAGTAGTATGACACGGGTTTTACGGGCATGCTGGCTTAACATACTGGGACCAAGAGTGTTTCTGTATAGAAACGTGAAATGGTTAGGGTATAAGCGTACAAACTCCAAGAAGATGAAAGATCCATTAAACTAGGTGTCTGTTTTAAATTTCCTTAAATTTCCTCACCCTACTGACTGGGGCGAGAGAATAAATGACGGTTCTATTGTCTAAAAAAAAAAGTGCCTCTAAGGAAAATGTGTTTAAGACCTTTGCATCATCGTCTTTCTAGAGAATGGGTCTTTTCATATTGTCAGGTATTGTATATTTATCACCATTCTGCGTAAGATGGGAGCACTTTTAGTAGTGGCTTCTTACCAATCTATAATCTTACTTTTATTCTTTTTTTCCCCTTTGTTTTTTTCCAGGAAGCAGACCTCCCGAAATGCAGATTCCACCCGGAAGCGGCAGCAAAGCCTGGACTTCCGGAGACATCACCGAATATGCAAAACAACTACTTGTTTCTTGTCAATAGACCGGCTCACTTACATTTTCTTGTTTTTGGCGGGAACGTTTCGGTACGCGACTACGGACGCACCGGATAACGTTAAAGCACGTGTACGCATCCAGTTTGGCTCACGGATAACTGCTCCACGGCAAAAGTCGCAAGAACCTCAATAATGCTGTGGCTGTTGTTGTTAGGTCTCGTTCTTTTTTTTTTTTTTTTTTTTTTTTTACGGCGTCAGAATTACAATATGAGTGAACAGTTTCCTGGCTTTTATTTTATAAAAAAACGTAAAGGCGAAAATGTCTTTCTATTTATCTATTTTCCCCATTACGTGTTCACAGCGATTAAACGAGGCATTAAATCGAATATCCGCCAAAGAGAGTAATGAACTGTCTAAGTGGGGCTGTTATCTCTGAGCATAGCTGCGCCTTTCTAAGAACGGTTGACCGGAGCAAAGGGAAAGGTTCCGTACGCTGACCAAACGTATTGTCTCGGGATGCAAGTCGAGGAGATTACTCCTACAAAGGAGGACACTCACAAGCGGAAGAAATGACTTCGTAAAGGAAGCCCGAAAAAGGGCGTGAAAAGAAGTACGAGTGCTTCGAAGGACGGACCTTGATGTGCTCTGGTTAAGCGTTTTTGGTTGTGTAAATTATACTTGTCTTTGATAATTTTAAAATCCATTACTTGTTGCTCGTGTGTGACGTTCGTTAAAGCCGCAGCACAACCGGCCCGTCGCAAAGAATTTCGAATTGAGCAGCCAAGAACTCTTGAAGAATCGCACCCCAGCGTTTCGCGGAAACTACCGTGGTGCCGTTTGCAAACGTGCGCGCGGTGTCACATTCTTGTGCTGTGGTAGGAGCCTTTCATTACCCGAGAGAGATTACTTCCGAGTGCTGTGTGTTAATTAGAAATATAAAACATTATTGGAATTTATTAACACACGTTTTACCCGATTAGAATTATAAGGACAAAGTTCGTATTGACACGTCATCATTTAATTCTTTGAACCGCGTTTTAAAACACGGGAAATACCAAAGGCTAGCAGCTACCAGTATGCCATGAAATGTCGGCTAGCTTGATTTATAGCAAACTACACCACGGTCTTTGATGATCTTGGTATAAAACTGTCGTAAGAGGTGAAAAAAACGCCGCGCCGTGTAACGATACGTAATATCGGTTAACACATATCCGAAGAATATTTGCTAACATAAGCATGCGCTGTGTTTAATTAACGATTGCCCGCCCGTCACGGCAGCTCTGCTGTTGCTGGTTGGTTTCGGCACTACCATTGTCAGCGCAAGTCAATCCGATCGTTACTGTCCGGGCGCTGGTGCTAGTGCCGAGCGGCTTCAATTCCGTTCTCCCGAAAGAATGGATATTTCTACGAGGCATGCTTTTGGGATGGTTTCATGCCGCCAGTAGCCTGTTTATCTCGAAGGGCCAAATTCATTATAATTAATTAATTCCTGAACGCTGACGAAACACAGGGTGCGTTTAGTCCTGTGCATCTCATTAAGGCTCTGCAGCCAATCCGATTGTGGCATTAGTCGATAAGAGCGACAAAAGAACCAATCAAACGCAAGATGCTTGAATATAATTAGCCACACCATCGTTTTTCAGGCTGTCGGTGGCTTAACTTATACTTCGACCTTGAACTTTCGGATGCTCCTGGTTGCTTCTTTGTTTTACGAGGAGAAGAAAACTTCGCAGGGACTTAGCAGAGACAGCGACCGAATTTTTTATTATAGGCAACACTGTAAAAGGGGTCAGGCTTCCTCGTTGTTTTACCACACAGAAATTTTTGAGCATATTATCCTTCCGACGAGGGCCAGAACGGAATGTTTAGATCCCAAAACTAAATACTCTTTGAAACTAAACGGGTGTGCAGGCGAGATGGTTCAATACTGACATGGTAACCGGGGAGAGGGGAAAAAACGGGGCGGACAACACAAAGCTTCGGAACACTGCTGAAGATGTAATAGGCCGATTAAATAGGCCCACGACCAAGAAAAGTACTACACACCAAACAGGTTGAGAGGTTGAGGTTTAACGAATGTGTGGGAGCCGTGAAACTGGAAAAATGAAAGATGAACTGTTTGCTTTCGTAATGTTGCGGATATACGTCCACTTATGTAGTGAGAAATCTAAAACAGTGCGTGCAATCATTCACCTCGCATCTTCGATGATATAAAGCGGCAGGAACTGCATCACAGATTGGATGCGCTTCAAAAAAAAGAAAAAGGACTGAAGAGAACAGCTTTGTTATGAAGTGTAGACCTAACGAGAGAGAGACAAGAAATACAGTTTTTTTGTGACGTTTGTAACCCTTCATGCCCCTCCCAAGTATGACCTCCCATAAAACATACAAAATACAAAAAAGAAGGCGAAATAAAAAGCGACCGAATATCAGACGTGTTACCATTCATGCCACCCCGTGTATAGATTGAGAGAGGAAAAGGACGAATAAATTTTATAAGCGCTATTTGTGTGTGTGTGTGTTGTCTTTTTTTTTTTTTTCCTCTTTGGGTTAATCGAGCCGGTACGAGGTTTTCTGCTTCTTGGTGTTAGGTAAGTGAGAGAAGAAGAAAAAAGAGAGATTACAAAAATTAGGGGGCACACACAGAAAGCACGGAAATTGTTCAACCTGCCTCCGCGACGTATATGTAAGTGTACAGAATATAGGGGGGGGGGGGGGGGGGGGGGAGAACGTAATATAACTTTGGCAGTTAAAGGAGAACTTAAGCGAAATTTTGAGGGTCCCTGATTTGCCTCAAAATTGGGTCGAAACATCAGTCGTCACGGCTGTAACTGTAACTCAAATAATAGATCAAGACCACTTTTCTCGCGAAGTTATCCTGTTTGAAATTTGTTCCTCAGCGTCTTTTTTCTTGTGGACGCGATAAACGATGGTGCATATTGGACAGTGCAACTCTTTCCTAATTAGTTACGAAAGAGTTGGATGGTGCTAAATAAATGCTGTGTAAGCTCAGTCCTGCCGATATATGTATATATTTATTAGGGCTGGGCGTCGATTAAAAATTTTAACCCGATTAATCGCTACCCTTTAATCGATTAATTAATCGATTAATCGGTTTCGTTGATTTTTATAAATAATATGTTAAAAATAATGCAACAACGCGTCTTGCCATTGAAGACGTATTTTACTCTCTGTTACACGGCGCAAAGGGCATTTAGAATTGAAGATACATATAGTTGAAGGATTCAAAGACACACATATTTTTGCTCCAGCTCCGAAGACAAAGTAGTTTGTCCACATTTTCCGACAGGAAGAAGAGAAATCAGGGCTTGGCTATGCTTTATTCTTTCTTCAGAGAAAGGGGCCTTGATCAGAAGGTGTTGATTGTTTGTGTTCTGGCGAATAATCCTTGCTGCAGCGGCGTAGATGAGTGCTTCGCTCGTAGGTAATTAATATACTGCAGCGAACTGACGCTTCCACTGTAGGAAAACGGCTTTTTTGCAGATGATGCAGTGGACTTGCTCTCGAGTTAAAAACTTCACCGCTGAAGTTTACTTTAAACCCAAACTTCCCAGCGAGATTGCATTTCATACTCGTGAACTCGTCCATTTTTACGGACCGAATACTGGAACAAGTAACCACGGCGTTGTTAGATTCCCAGCTTGTTTTTCTGCTTGTTTGTCTTGCCTGGTCGGGATATTTAATAGATCCTCAACACGTGAAGTTTCGCGGTCGCGCGGGGATCGATTGCGGGCCCGGCTTGTTCGTCTGGTCTCGGCAGAACTGTAATGTATATCCTCGAACACGTGACGCTTCGCGAGCGCGAGAATTGAACCTTGCTCATAGCACCTGGCTGGGTACAGAAAACCAGGATAGAGCCACGCGTGCGTCCATTTGACTTCTTTTTGAGTACCGACTAAAAAACCGATTAACCGGTTAAAACATTTGATCGCGATTAGAGCCTTAATCGATTCATCGGAAGGTTAATCGATCAATTGCCCAGCCCTAATATTTATATATATATATATATATATATAAATATATATTTATATATTGTATATGTATATATACAATATGTATATTATACAATATGTATATTATGTATATTGTACAATATACAATATGTATATTGTATATGTGTGTATGTGTGTGTGTGTGTGTGTGTGTGTGTATGTGTGTGTGTGTGTGTGTGTGTGTGTGTGTGTGTGTGTGTGTGTGTGTGTGTGATATTTGCGACATAATCTTTTTGTTTAGACTGCCTGCTCGACCTGAAAGTATCACAACGCGGGAGGTTACTTCGCTACAAAGGGCTGGAAACTGTGGATGTTGTATTTGGCATTACCTCTTGTGGCAGTTTTTTTTTGTAGCTATTTTGAATATATAAATAACAAAATTCCATGCCGCGTAGAGTAAATCCCGGGGATTCCAAAAATGTAGTCATATCAAGTAGCTAAAAAGCCGACGTTTTTTTTTTGGTTTTGTTTTTTTGATTAGTGGAATACACCGATCAAATAAAGGTGTAAAAGGCCCCTGCTCATAGATATCGAAGCATACAGGTAAGTGAATGTACACAATAGTGTTTTTGTTTCGCATATATAGGAGGGATAAAGACTTTTAGACTTTGGGGAGGTTTCCAAAATTTCATGCCGCCCATGGCACAGGGAGCAGTAGAACTTTGCTCTTAAGCTTGCCCCTGAAAATATTGATCTGAAACATGCTAATATAACACCAAGACGAAGTGTACAAAATTTAAAAACTAAACGCGCACAACTTTTTTTGTCATGCCGCTTACATGAGCACTCGTTTGTGCAACGAAAAATTAAAACAAAACACTAAGGACGTTCTTAAAAAAAAACGAGTTACATTTTATTTCTAGCAAATATTTGTTCCGTAAATTAAATATCACGTTCGTTTTCCCCGAACAAGTTTTTTTTTTTTTAAGACGTGTTTATGTTTTTTTTCTAAACGCGAGAAAACACGGAAAAAAGCCGACCAGACGTTACGTCATACAAGGATCTTTCGGCCGCCGAGTGCATGTCGCTCATGTGGGCAGCGCGTGCTATTGCAGGCTTGCCGGGTAAATTTCCACGCACTGACAACAGTCGTAACTCCTCTTTCTTACCTTTTTAAAAATAGCAAGATTGCACATGTATAGATTTGATAGGCGCTGAAGATGTGAGAGTGTGGACATTTGATTCTGAAAAATCTGTATATGATCTCCCGCTCTGGGAAGAGGCGGCTTCATCGGTACTTTGAAAATTATGTTTTCTGTAGTCTCTCTGCACCAAATAAAAAAAAAAGAATCTCAATATTTGTGATCCTGGAGGCCAAATGAAAACGATTTAAGTGTTTTTCCTCAAATACAAAACCGCTTCTATTTCCCTTTAACCAAACGGCAGTTTTGTGTCCAGTGACCTGGACAACAGACGCCAGTGGCTGTACTAAAAACCCCGTAATCAAAGGTAAAATACGTCGTACAGAGGTTCGGAAGTAAATTCGTCAGTCATAAAACCTGACGTGTTCTCCCTCTGCTCTAGCGAGATATTACTTCAATGTATCACTGCTCACCTCGAAAAACGTACATCAAGTATTACGCAGTACTTCTACAAAAATTAATGCGGTGGTAGTTCCCGTCCTTATCAAGCATAGCGGGAGGGTCAATCGAACTAAACCGTCTATAGTCAGACACACGAAATACGCGAGATAAATAAACGAAATATGAACCAAACACCACGGCAACAAATCGCTCCGTGACCTAAGTAGTCAGGAGAGATGATACCCATCACGTGCTATGTAACGTTAGCGCAACATGCGCCACAATAGCGGACTATTTGCACATCATGGAGGAAAAACAGTCGGCGGTAATGAAGAAATAGGAGGAGCTTAACAGTCGGCGGTAATGAAGAAATAGGAGGTGAAATAATAGAACACTGCGGCGCACCTACTTCTATGGAAACCCTGTAGCTACATATTTTTTTCAATTGAAACTAGTTGTGTTCGATCTTGTAGACACTTTTTAACAGGGCTTCGAGAATATGATGCGTACCATAGCCCAGGATAAATCCTACTGGGTGGGAGATATGATGTTGCATTTATCCAGAAACGAAGCAACCGTTATATAAATACATTTTTCTAATATTTTAACCATACATGTCAAAATATATTGGTCTAGTGTTCTATTCAGTCTCGCTGTCTTCCTTTGAAAAGAGGTTTAACAATGGCTGTCTTGAATTGGATGAGAATTGAGCCAGTCTCAATTATTTTGTTGAAGATAGACAGAAGTGTGTACTTAATGTGGCTGAAATTTCTACAAAGACCGTTGAGGCGCATCCCATCGTATCCTTGGGACCTATTTGGTTTCACACAAAAAGTTACGGTCTCAAGGTTGGAAAGGGTCATTTGTAGAAGAAATGCAGACACCATATTTCAGTTAAGGAGGGAAGAAGCGGATGAGTCATTTTGTCGGGCTTTGTGTGAAAATGTTGCGAAAACATTGTTGAAGGCATCATCCGGAACAATTGAATCAGATCTAAAATAAGCGTTGAAAGCATTTCCTTGCGGACGTTTAGGAGAAATGCCCACTAATTCATTATTCAATGACCAGGATTTCGCCAAGTTGGCTCCAGATTTGAACTTCTGTTTTTATGCGAGTAAAGACGCCTTGCTGAACAAATCAGGGCTCCTACCCCGTTCTGAACCGTTCTGAAATCACCAAGAAGTTTTGATTTCTGGGGTGATCAACGAAATCTTTTCCAATAAATTTGTTTAAGTTTTATGGCAAATAGTATATCCTTATTTACCCATCGTAAGATTTTCTTAAACATTTCTAAACCCAAGACGGGGGCTACAAAGAGGGGACAAACACAATTGAAACGCCTCAAAACCCGTAAAAAAAACAGAGAAGACGCCGAGAGGGATGACAATTATAGCGACGAACATGGGAGAATGCCTGCATCAGGAAGGATGATTCATGATAACGTATTGAGACACGCGCGCTGGTTAAAGTTGAACATTACCACAAATCTTAAAGGAGGCTACAAGGAGGGGACAAACACAAGACGTTTCAAATCCCGTACACAAACAGAGAAGACACCGGTGGATATGACAAAGATAACGACGAACATGGGATAATGCCAGCCTTACGAATGATGATTGAAGATAACGTAGTAACCATGAAGTAACGATCCAACATTTTTTCAGTTATGATTGCTACTTTTGCATTTGACAATGGCGACCTTAAATTAATGAAACCTATCTGGGTGATAAGCAAATTGCCTCTGAACAGTTCCTCCCTCGTAGGATCAAGAATTGCCGGATCGATGCCATGATCTCTCAAGAGAGTAAGATATTCGCAAACAAGGGGCTTCGAAGACTTCAGTAAATCGACGTTAAAATCTCATACTAGACCATGGACAGCTTTTTCTGTCAAAGCAGACAGACTCGGAGCTCGGCTAGAAATTCGTAAACTTTTCCAGATGGGGTCGATAAAAGCAGGTATAT